ACACACTTATAAATCAGAAAAAGAAGATTCCATGTGAAATAGTTTGTATTATTTATTTTTTAATTTTCATTTTGAGATATAAAAAATTCAATATGCTACTTTCAAAACTTTACTAATTCCTTCGGGTGTTTCTCCTGTTCTATTTTGTGAGTAAAACTATCCAACAATTTCCTTCTTTTCCCTTTTTGGAGGGGAGGGGCAGGGGGAGAAGGGCAATCCTATTCCTAGTGTCCCTCAAAATGTCAGATTTTGCCAAATATGATTTTAAATGGACATTCATTTTTTTCCCTCTCTGACTTGATCTCCCCTAGGTGAAAGGAAAACACACACACACACATCCTCCTGAAACTTACATGTAATAAAGGAAAATGGGTTCTCTAAAATATTTGTCACTGCAATGAAATGTGGTCTGGTGTCAGACATGCTGATGGTGACGGTTGCAAACAACCTGGGAAGGCATGGATGGACTGACATAAAGTAAAGTGAGCAGAAGCAGAACTCCTTCCAAATAAAAACAATACTGTCATGAAAAATAAGTCTGAACGACTTAAGAACTCCTATCAATGCAATGACCAAAGGTGTCTGCAGAGGACAAAAGATGGAATGTTATCCACACCCTGATAGAGATGTAAAACAGAATCCATTGAACTAATGTATAAAATTAGGCCTGACTTAACAATTAAATAGGCAAACTGTTGGTTAATTGGATTAAAAAAAAAAGAAATTAAACCAAAAGAAAACCAGTCTCAAAAATAAAAGGGTGAGTGCAACACCAATGGAGATGAAATGAAAGTTATTGTAAAGAGTTATTTTGTCCAATTATATTCCAGTAAAATTGGCAATCTAAGTGAAATGGATGAATATTTTTTTAACTATCAATTTCTCAAATTAACAGAAAAGAGAATACTTAAATAACTCCATCTTAGAAAGACCAGGAGCTCCTTTCTTGGATGATGAGAGTGGATCTGGCTTTTGTATGAATTGTATCCTTTCCACTAGCTAATGCCAATAAGCCAGCAGCAATCCAAGAAAAAGATTTGATTCTCCTCAGAGTGTGGCACACCTCACCAACCTTTGAAAGGAAGGTGGGGGGGCAGCTAGATGGCTCAGTGGATAGAGCACCGGCCCTGAAGTCAGGAGGACGTGAGTTCAAATCCGGCCTCAGACCAAACACTTGACACTTACTAGCTGTGTGACCCTGGGCAGGTCACTTAACCCCAATTGCCGAAAAAAAGAAAAAAAGAAAGAAATTAGTGTCTCAAGAATTAAAAATGAGAATCACTTAGAAGGCAATGGAGAGGTACATTATGTTTTGTATAAATAATGACACTTAACAGGTCTTCAGGGCTTTGGGTTTCATGGCTTTGCTGAAAGAGGATTTTAAGAGCTGAAAATGGTCTGCTAAGAGTTGACATAACCAGCTCCATTTTTTCTGCATTTGTCATTTTTACTGTGTGATATCTGAGCAGGGATTAGCCTCCTTCAATACCTCCTGTCCTCCTTTAAAAGGAGAAAGAGGGCTGAGAAGATTTGACAGTACCAGGAAGCCGTCCCTTTCTCTTCTTCCTATCTGATAAACCACATGGTAGGTCCGGACAAATGTTTATTACCCTGACAGACTGATGGAAAAAGTACCATTTTCTTAGGCCTAAAGTAAAGGCAATTCTACCCAGGACCCATTCTTTCCTTCATAACAAGTGATGGGCATCCTTCCTTGTGCCTCCTGTTCTACCTGCCCAGACCAAACTACTCTGCCAGGAGCACACCTTCTCACATTCTCAGTGTCTTTTTGATTAGTGCTGGCTCATTTGCATTAGCTAGTCAAAAGAATGAGAACATTCCCACGATAGGTTCAGGGAGCTAGATTTATAGGTTGGATTTCCATTGGAAATCAAGCCAGAAAAGTGACTAAAATGTCCATGCCCTTTGACTGAGCAATCTCACTGCAGGCATATGTCCCAAGAAAGGCCAAGACAGAAAAAATATCTAGTACATACAAAAATACTTAATGGAACTTTTTTTTTTTTTTTGTGGTAGCAAAGAACCAGGAGGGTGGGCACCCACTGACTGGAGAAAGGCTGAAAAAACAATTCATCCGTGTAATAGAATGTTATTGCGCAGGAAGAGATGGCTAATAGGAGGAATTCAGAGAAATATGGTATGAGTTTAATGAACAGATGCAGATGAAAACACAATGTTCCAAGAGAACAGCATTAAGAGGAAAAGATCAGTAGCAAGATGCTGAACCCAAGCAATGGAAAAGTCAATGAAAACCATGAAGAGGAGATGAGCAGAGACGGATGAGAAGTGAATGACTGACCGGGGGCAATACTGTGCATCTACCCTGCCAAGTGTATCACATGTTTTAAATTCTATTTCTTTATTGCAGTGGAGGATGTAATGGGGGGAGGGAGAAAGGGATGCGAATAACTGTGATGGAAAGACAAGAGGCCCCACTAAAGAGGGCTAGGCTTGGAATCTGGAAGAGTTGAGTTCGTATCTGACTTCAGACAATTATTAGCTCTGTCAATCAGTCAATAAACATTGATTAAATACCATCTGTATGCCAGGCAATCTGCTAAGCCTGAGGGATAGAAAGAGAGGCAAAAGATAGCCTTTTCTCTCAAGGAGCTCACAATTTAATGACAGACAATGTGAAGAACAAAATATAAACAAATTATAAACAGGATAAATAGGAAATGATCAACAGAGGGAAAGGACTATGCTTAAGAGGGGTTGGGAAAGGTTTCATGTGGAAGGTGAGATTTTAACCAGGGAAGCCAGTGGGCAGAGATGACGAGGGAGAGCATGCCAGGCATAGGGGATGAGCAGTGAAAATGGCAGAAGGAGATTAAATGTGTTGTTTCAGGAACAGCCAAGAGGCCAGGTAAATGGATCTAGGAGTATGTACGTGTAGGGGAAGGGAGAAGGATGGGGCTGTAAGGTATAAGAAGGCCAGAAAAATGAGAGGGAGTAGGTTATGAACACCAAACAGAGGGTTTTACATTTGATCCCGGATGCCATAGCAAACCACTGGAGTTTATTAAGTAGAGGGGGCTGACATGGTCCGATCCTGTTCTTTAGGAAAATCACTTTTGGGGCTGAGTAGAAGAGCAGGGAGGCAGGCAGGAACCCCCTCCTCCAAGCAGGCTATTGCAATAGTCCAGGTATGAAATGATAAGGGCCTGGACCAGGGTGGGGGCAGTGTCAGAGGAGAGAAGAAGGTATATTTGACAGGCATTGCGGAGGTGAAATCGACAGGCCTTGGCACCATATTAAATATGGAGGGTGAGAGAGTGAGGAATCCAGGATGGCACATGGGTTGGGAGAAACTGGGGGGAAGGTAGAGGGCAAGGAGGGTTCAGGGGGAAAGATAATGAGTTCTGTTTGGGCCATGTTGAGTCTAAGATGTCTACTGGAATTTAGTTTGAGATGTCTGAAAGGCAGATGGAGATGGGACACTGGAAGTCAGCAAAGAGTTTCAGGCAGGATGGGTAGATTTGAGAATCATCAGGACAAAGATGGTAATTAATATGGGAGCTGATGATATCACCAAGTGAAGTCATGCAGAGGGAGAAGAGGAGAGGACCCAATCTAGAATCCCGAGGGACCCCCCCCCCCATTACAGAGCATGATCTGGAGGATCCAGTGAAGGAGACAGAGAGCAAGCAGTCTAAGAGGAAGGAGGAGAACCAGAAGAGAGCAGGGTCCTGAAACCTTGAAGAGAGGAGGGAATTTAGAGGAGAAGAGAGTAATCACCAATGACCAAGGCTGAGGAGAGGTCGAGGAGAATGAAGAGGAGAAAAGGCCACTGGGTGTGGCAACGAATAGATCAATGGTGACTTTGGACAGAGCAGTTCTGGTGGAATGATAAGTCTGGAAGTCAGATTGTGCAGGGTGTGGGAGGAGAGGAAATGGAGGTACCAGCTGGAGGTGGCCTTTTCCACGAGTTGAGCTACAGAGGGCAGAAGAGATTCTGGAAGGGGAGAATCAAGTGAGGATTTTTTCAACATGGGGGAGACGTGGATGCGTTTGTAGGTCATAGGGAAGGAGCCAGTAGAGAGGGATAGATTGAGGAAAAGTGACAAGCTGGGGATGAAATGAAAGAGGATCACTTGAGCAGGTAGGGGGATCGGCCTTGGCAAATGGGATGGGGGGAGGTGGAGAGAGGAACAGAAGACGCACGAGTGATGGAAGATGAGGAAGGAGAGAGAAGGGAGAGTTCACAGCGAATGTCCTCAAATTTTTCCTGTAAATACGAGGCAGGGGTCTCAGCTGAGAGGGTGGGGGAGGGGGAGCCATGGCAGATGTAAGGAGGGAGGTGGAGGCTCAGAAGAGCTGCCGGGAAGAGGGGAAGAGGGAGTTGACAGGGGAATCAGAGTAGAATTTCTTGGTAGCAGCGAGGGCCGGGTTGAGGTTTTGTAGAATAGATCTGTAGTGGACCCAGTAAGAAAGCGATTTTCTCCACCTTCATTCAGCAGCACCTATGAAGGCGATGAATAGTAGCAGTGATCAAAGGGTGAGGAGGGGGCACAATTGGTGATATGATGAAGGGATTAGGGATTCAAGGGAGAAGGACTGTGCAGAGTTGAATGGGTTCACCGGGGTCAGGATGGAGAGAAGAGTGGGGCAGCTAGGTGGTGCACTGAATAGAGCAACAGCCCTGGGATCAGGAGGACCTGAGTTCAAATCCAGCCTCAGACACTTGACACTCACTAGCTGTGTGACCCTGGGCAAGTCACTTAACCCTGATTGCCTCACCGAAAACAAAACAAAACAAGATGGGGAGAAGAGGGAGTGGTTAGTGCAGGGGGAAATGACCTGGAAGAGAACTGAAGGGTCAAAGGATTTGAGGTCCTGGTGAAGAAAGGGGTGTGGGGTTGCAAGGCAGAGGTGGAATGACAACAGCTTGTGATCAGATGAGAGAATTTCAGAGTTCATGAACATGAAAGGAGTGCATTTGTGGGTGAAAGCAAAAATGTGAGTAGAGAAGTGGGTCACAGGAAATGACTGGGTTGAGGAATTGGAAGGTTAGGGCCTTTGAGGTCAAGAATATCTAAGGAGTTAATGACCAAAAAAAAGTAAAGGAAGGAAGTTTATCAGTACCAGATCTTAGCTGTTTCCTTTGAGGTGCGCGCTGTTCGTATCTACCACCCAATCAAAACGCTGGCGGCTTCCATCTAGTGGTCCCCAGGACACTCCCCTTCCTTCCTCAACGAGTTCAGCGCCAGCTCAGTCTTCCTCTTCTCAGTTCTCGTCCTCACATGTAAGGCAGTTCAACATACGCAGCATGCACCTCAAAGGAAGCCATGTTACTGAATGGTGGAGAGAGATGGAGAAACCGGGGTGACGATGGGGAGTAAGGGGAATTCCAACTCCCCCGCCTCGACCAGGGAGCTGAGGAGAGTGAGTGAAGAATGAAGGGGCAGCCAGTACTCTGCAGGGTGGCCCAGGAGGCTGTGTCATTGTAGGGAGCCAGGTTTCATCAAGAGCTAGCAGATAAAAAGAGTGGGAGAGGAAGAATTTAAGATGAAGGGACTATTGTTGCCTATGGAGCAGGCATTCCAGAGGGCACCGTGGAAGAGCTGGTGGCTTTGGGTGGGAGAGTGTTATAGGAAAGGAACTGAGCATTGAAGAGAGGAATGAGGTTTGAATGACACATGAGGGTTCAGAATCACTGGGACAGGGAGCAGGAGCTTGTTAAACACTGAGTGAACATTTGGCAAGATTTTCAGTATCAAGCGAGTCAGGGCCTAAGGATGGGGTCCTTCCAGAGCGCGGGGCAGGTCAGGTGAGGAAGCAAGGAGAGAAAGCAGTGATGCCTTCCTTCCCACAGGGCAGGAGAGCCGGCACTCTCTCCCCTCACTCCAGGGGGGCACGAGCCTGGGGCTGGGGAAAGGAAGGGAATGGGCATTTCTGCAAGGCCTCCCATATGCCAAGCGCTGTGCTAAGGGCTTTACGTGGGTCATCTCATTTGGTCTTTGCAACAATCCTGACAGTAGGCAGGGTTATTATTCATCTGTTGTTATTCAGTCTCCCTGACCTGTCTGGGGTCTTCTTGGCAAAGATGCTGGAGCGGCTTGCCATTTCCTTCTCCAGCTCATTTTTATACATGAGAAAACTGAGGCAAACAGGGTGAAGTGACTGGCCCAGGGTCACCCAGCTAGTCAGCATCTGAGGCCAGATCTGAATTCAGGTCTTCCTGATTCCAAGCCTGGTGCTCCACCCATCGTACTCCCTACCTGCCATCAACCAGTACGATGGAATGGCTGGGACCCTGGGTAAGTTACTTCAACCTGTCTGCCTCGGTATCTTCCTCAACTGCAAAATCAAGGTCACAGCAGCACCTTGCTCTCAGGGCTGCCGTGAGGATCAATGAGACCCACTGTGTAAAGCATTTAGCCCAGGGAATGGCACTCAGTAGGGTGGCTGATTTGTGAATGCTTTGCTCCTTAAAGGGTTAACCTTACTGAAATCACCCCCGATGAGGGGCAGGGAGGAAGCCTTGTGAACATGACCTCAGTGACAAAGAAGAGCAGGGACCTGGAGGTTGGCAGATGTCACCAACCATCTGGAGAGGGTTCTAGAGTCCAGCAGAGGAGCTGAAAAGGGGGAAGGCTTGCTGAGAGAGCGTGAGAGAGGGAGGGCCAGGAACCGCCTGGAGGGAAGTGGCCCAGAACCTTGGGAACAGCAGTGACCCCCAAGCCACCAGACCAGCTTCCAGCCTGGCCCCTGCAGCCACCGTGAAGGGAAGAAATCATTGGCAGAAGGAGCCCACTAGCCTCAACACCACCACCAAAACTACAGACCAACCTTCACCTGCCAACAGTCACACAAACCAACAGCCCTGGGAGGGGCAGTGTCCCACACGGCCCCAGGCTTGCTTCCAGCCTGGCTCCCACAGCCATGCTCCCAAGAAGGATCTCCCAGGCACCCCCTGCACCCCTGGGCAGGGCAGCTGGGCACCCCGAGGGAGAGCGTGAGGGCAGCAAGTGCCAGGCAAGTCAGTCCCCCCACCACCACCACCCTGGCCCCCATCTCCCCTCAGACCCTGATGGAGACAGCCCAGGACCTCGAGCCCAAGAGCCTGGGGAAGAGCCAGGCTTCCAGCCCAGCCCCCACAGCCTGAGGACCCAGAAAGGAGAGTTCTTGGGACCCACGTCCTGGGCCCTGGCAGGTGGTTCGACATCAGAGACCAGTGCAATCTGATCAGTGGCAAGAACATGAAAGAAGAGGCCTGACTGCTGGCTTTGCTGCTGCCCCCAAGGACCACAGGTGGGACCTTCCCATCGGACTTGCAGCTCAGCCCTTCCCTGGGTGCTGTCTCCCCGACTAGAAAGGGAGCAGGGACCGTCTCGCTTTTCTATTGCTATCCAAGGAGTTAGCCTAGTTCGTGGCACACAGTAAGTGCTTAATAAATGCCTTCTCACGTCTCTCTCCAGTCTGGTTTTGCCACAGCTGCCAAAAAACATCTTCCCAAGCCCTGGTCTCCCCCGTCACGCCCTTCTCCAAACGCCTTAGTGGTTCTGTGCAGGTTCTGTGCACGGCGTTAAAGGCCCAATCTAACTCCTGCCCAAAAGGATGCCAAAGCACCTCCAGATTTGGGGGAGTACTTTGTTTTCTTAATTGCTCAGTAATATTCCATTTTGGAATACTGTGACATCATCAAGGCAGAACAAAGAGAAAAAAGGAGGTGGCTCTGGGGTAAGGATTGGGCCTAGGGGCCAGTGAGGGGTGGCCCAGGGGTGAGGAGCGGGAGCCCCTAGAGGCCAGAGTGGGGTGGCCCAGGGTGAGGATCAGGAGCCCTTAGGGGCTGGTGTGGGGTGGCCCAGGGTGACGATTTGGAGACCCTAGAGGCCGGTGCGGGGTGGCCCAGGGGTGAGGATCGGGAGCCCCACAGGCCCAAGGGTGAGGATCGGGAGCCCCTAGAGGCCGGTGTGGGGTGGCCCAGGGGCTGGACCAAGTTGAGCCTCAGCAGGGCCTTGACCAAAGGCAAGTCAATGGGCCAAGGCTAGGGGCCTGCCAGGGCTGGGAAGTGAGTGAAGAAGAGTATCGGGTCCTACCTTCTCTCCAATCTCACAAATAATAATTTCTAGGTGGGGGGAAGGGAATGCCCCAAGTGATCCCCCAAGTTAAGCCTACAAATCTCCCACTCTGCACTGCCTCCTGAACCCTGAACAAGTGTCCCTTTTGGCTCCCAGGCTGGCCCGAGGAGGGGCATGAGAGAAGTGAGGTGAGAGATGGCCACCAGGTAAGAGGAGAGCGCAACCTGTAACTTGGAGGCCAACCTGAGATGAGACGGGAGCAGAGGATGTGCCTGCATCCTGCAAACGCGCATCCCTCGGCCTGCTGCGGGAAGATGCTGCGGGGAAAGCCCAGGGCTGAGGGCTCACTCTCACCCTTAGCCACCAGCCCCACGGCTCCCTGGCCTCAGGCTCACAAGCCTGCCTCAGGTAGAAGCAGCAGTGAAGTGTCAGTAACTGGGTCTCCCTCGAAGCCTTGGACATGATGGGGTGCTTGGGTGCTTGTGCTTGGACTTGGACCCCAAGTTCTCCCTAGCCTCAGAAACACTGTCTCTGACAATCACTCCCCAGCCCAAGGCCACTGTGCCTAGCAATTACTCATGCGTGGGCCCCAGCACGACCCTTATCTCTCTCCCTGGTGCAGCTACACAAAGCTGGGTGAGACAGTGACGGGCTGCTCAGGCCCCAGCCCTCAGATCATGTCTCTGGAAGCCTCCCAGTTCCTTAGTAAGTTCCTGTCTGGTGAGAAAGCTTTCCCTTGTTGCAGAGCATCCTCTCATCAAGACAGAGGGAGAGGGGTGCCTTGCCCAGCCCGAGGAGTTTTGTCCTTGGCCGGCCCAAGGACTCTTCCTCCTGCCAGACTCCCAAGATCCATACCTCTGTCATCTCCCTCCCTGTCCGGTATACTCCCTGTACTTTCTCATCCATAGCTCCCAAAGACACCTGGACCTTTAGATTACCTCATCAGTGTCCCTGGCATTCCTCTCCCATGCCCTTTTCCATACAAACCCTAGCTCCATCCTCAGTCTCTCCCAGATTCCTTAAGAATCCTTGCCCACTGAAAAGCATAACAATGAATCTTTGCCACCTTGACTTAAAGAATGCTTGAGGCTGTGAATTCGTTCCAGACGACCGACCCTGTCCTGTACTCCAGCCTTTGAGGGGTCTCAACCTCTCAGAGCGTAACAGGCACATCCTTGTCGTTAAAACCAAGCCCCCTCTTTCTCCTTCTCCAGGCTCTATGCCCCACCTGAAGGGCCACGTGCTTCCTATAGGACTTGACAGAGTCCAGATCAGCTCAAAGGGAGGGTCCTAAGCCGTTTGTCTGAAAGGATATCAAATGCCAGAGGTCCAGAGGATCCTCCCTACCCACTCTTCCCTCTGGCCCCTCCCTTGAGGACCCATGCTGAGTCACCCTCTCCTGCCCAATCCAGATGCCTTTTCTTCCCACCCCCACCCCCACCCCCGATACCCTGGAGTCTTTTGTCTGCGCTATTAGGGCGGAGGGGAGGGGAATGTGTGGGTGGCCACATCCACTGCCTCTTCATGGATCCTTTTATAGACACGGACCCATTCACCTACCCACATCTCACATCCCCTTAACCCCCCACATCCCTGCCCAGGCTCTGTTCTGGGCCTGAGGGAATGGTGGAGGTTCAGAGGGAAGAGCAGAGCTGAGCAGAAGCTCCTGCTCTCCCCTCTGCTCCCACCTGTCGCCCAGACCACCGGCTCAGATTCTCCTCTATTCCCCAGAGTCACTAAGACAAGGCAGGGAGGTGAGGATGGGGGGTGCCCAGCCCTGTCCTGGACTGACTGGCCCCAGCTGTGCTGGGGGGACGGGGATCCAGGAACTGAAACCTTTTCGGTTTTTGAAGGGTGGCCCATGATGAATTAGCCTCATTCTGTTTGGGCCTCAAGAGCAGAAACAGAACCAAAATTAGGGGGATGTTTCAAAAAACAGATTCGAGCTTGATGTCAAGAAAACCTTTCCAAGGGCTCGAGCTGTCCTGAAATGGAATCTCCCACCTGGTGAGCCCCCCTCACTCCGGACCCTCGGGCCAAGCCTGGCTGGCCTCCTGCTGGTGGTACTGGCCCAGAGATGTTTTGCCAAATGTCAGCCGGCCTAACTGGTCACTAATATTCCTTCTGACTCTGCCATTTGGAAATGCTGCCTTCTTCCTCTCCTCCCTCCATCACTTTCTCCAAAGCCAGACTACTAGAAAGGGGACAGATGGGAAACAGAGGATCTCCTCACTGTGGCTCCTTCTACTGGTTTCAGAGGGTCCCTTTTGTCTTATTCAGACCACTTTGTCCTTCCAGGTCATGCCCCCTAACCCTCGGTGACCCACAGGGATCTGGCCTGAGTCCTCTTCTCTTCTGCTTCACTGGGTGACATCATCAATTCCCATGGATTTAACAATCATCTCAGATCTACCTTTCTTGCCCTAACCTCTGCTGGCCTCTAGTCTCTCGTCTCCAGCTGCCTATTCGACATCTTGAACTGGATGTCCAGCAGACACCTTAAACTTACCATGTCTGGAATTGAACTCCTTGGCTTTCCCACTATGCCTTTTTCCAACCTCCATCCCTGCTCCTACCTTCCTAATTAATGTTGGAGGCACCCCCATCCTCCCAGTCCCTCAGGCTCACAACCTAGGAGTCATCCTGGATCCCTCACTCTCTCTTATTCCCCCATATCCAATCTGCTGCCCAGGTCTACCAATTGTACCTTTGTAAAAGTGGGATCCTCCTGACTGATGGACTGCAGTTGAAGGCTCAATGACCACTTGTTGAATATTTTGCAGGAAGGATTCTTATCCAAGCAGCAGAGACACTTTGCCTCCAGAGGAGTGGGATCTTTAATACAGGGCAATTGCCTGGATGTGTGGAGTAAATAAGAGGCAAGATTTGAGGATGCCATCAACAGTGATCAAGAAATTTGTAAGAGGGGTGGATTGGGGGAGGGGATTAATAAGTTTTTAAAATTTAATTTTATTTATTTTTGTTACATTTTAAATTCTGAACTGTCTTCCTGTCTTCCTGCCCACCCCACACTAAAAAGGCCACCATTTAACATAGATAGATAGATAGATAGATAGATAGATAGATAGATAGATAGATAGATAGA